GCCCCAGGCCCGGCCCCTTCCCGTGTTCAGCCCAGGGCGTGGCCAAGGGGCCCCGGCTGGCAGCACAGGGCACAAACTGCTCCCCCTGGCAGCCTACAGGGGGCGCTGTGCCGGCCAAGGGGCTGCCTGCCTGATCACTCACCAGCCAGATGTGCTGCACCTTCTGGGCCAGGTGCTCCACGGCCGCCTTCGCCCCCAGCAGCACCCGCGTCACCTTGTCCAGCTGCCCCTTGGCCGCGTCGCGCCGCGTCTCCTCCTGGCGCAGGTGAGCGCGCAGCTCCTCCAGCAGGCGCTGGGCTCTGGGGAGCGGGCAGCGTGGGCACCGGGGCTGTGGGCACTGCCAGCCCTGGGGCGGGGCCAGAGAGACAGAGCCAGGGACAGAACCCGCCTGCTCTAACCACTAGCCCCCACTCCCTGCGCAGAGCCAGGGACAGAACCCGCCTGCTCTAACCACTAGCCCCCACGCCCCACACAGAGCCAGGGACAGAACCCGCCTGCTCTAACCACTAGCCCCCACTCCCTGCGCAGAGCCAGGGACAGAACCCGCCTGCTCTAACCACTAGCCCCCACGCCCCACACAGAGCCAGGGACAGAACCCGCCTGCTCTAACCACTAGCCCCCACTCCCTGCGCAGAGCCAGGGACAGAACCCGCCTGCTCTAACCACTAGCCCCCACGCCCCACACAGAGCCAGGGACAGAACCCGCCTGCTCTAACCACTAGCCCCCACTCCCTGCGCAGAGCCAGGGACAGAACCCGCCTGCTCTAACCACTAGCCCCCACGCCCCACACAGAGCCAGGGACAGAACCCGCCTGCTCTAACCACTAGCCCCCACTCCCTGCGCAGAGCCAGGGACAGAACCCGCCTGCTCTAACCACTAGCCCCCACGCCCCACACAGAGCCAGGGACAGAACCCGCCTGCTCTAACCACTAGCCCCCACGCCCCACACAGAGCCAGGGACAGAACCCGCCTGCTCTAACCACTAGCCCCCACGCCCCACACAGAGCCAGGGACAGAACCCGCCTGCTCTAACCACTAGCCCCCACTCCCTGAGCAGAGCCAGGGACAGAACCCGCCTGCTCTAACTCTCCTCAGACCTGAGAACTGAACCCAGCACTCCTGGCTCCCAGCACCCCCGATTCTAACCTGAGCCCCCCCATGTACTGAGGGGTGGGGTGGGGGGGCTCCTGCCTTTACACACCAGTGGGAGGGGGGCTGGCACTCACCCTGTCACCTGGGCGTCCCCCGAGTAGAGGAGGCCCTGCAGCCTGCCCCAGCGCCTCCTCGTTCTGCCTGGTCAGCTGCTCCAGCTGTCTGCTGGTCTCTCCTTGAGACAGGAACCGGCTCACCACGTCCTGCCGGGGAGGGGGTGTTGGAGCCCCCGGGGCCGTACCAGGCCCCTTCTGCCCCCCTCTGCCAAAACGGCCCCTCTGGGGAGCGGGGGAGGCAGGACTCCTATCCCCATCTCTGGGCGGGGAGTGGGGGCTAGTGGTTATTGCAGGTGGGGGAAGTGGGAGCCAGGACTTCTGGGTTCTTTCCTCCAGCGGGGTGGGGAGGGCACAGCCTGGCTGCCCTGCCAGTGTCCCACACCCCTG